TCCTCCAATGCTGTAGGCGATAACTAAAGGTGTTTTACAGCTTCTAGATTTCATAACTGATGTACTGTTGCCATGCTGTGAGTGGTCTTTCTTTCAATAAATTCAAACGAAAACTACTACTTGAATATCAAAGGAGCAATTCATAAATGTAGTCAAGTTGTTCAAACATCGTCTTTTTTAGTCTTGTATACAAACTGTTCAAATACTGCCCCCCACCCAGCCTTCAGAAAGATAAAATTTTCTTCATTCTTTTCAGTTATAAAAGATTACTGCTGAGCACCATAATTTTTAAAAATCACATTTCTAAGTGGAAGAACATAATGAGTGTAGGATTGTATGTGTGTGAATGTGTACACAAATGTGAGGTGGCATAGTATTCAGAAAGACAAACTATGTTAAATTTTATTCAGACCATAGACCCATCTTTATCAGATGGCAACCTTGGCTAAAGATTATTTTGCAATTATCAATAAAACACTCACAAAAACCGCTCAAACACCACAAAATAACCTTATTTCTATCTCTAACTCAGTCTCCCTTTAAGTGGCTAAATAGCTACCTTCATTCACTCAATCTGTATTTTCCCCTTTTTACTGTGGTACAGTTTAAGTAGACTATTTTAATTTACCTCACTATTATTCTAGTTAATTCATGGAATATATACATATGTTTATTAATCATAGTCATAAGCCTATGTTCATATATTTATATATACAAAGCATATCTGTTTTCTATCTCTACATGATAGACTTTACATGATAATCTTTACATGAAGACCACTGAAACTGAAGTTATCATCTACTTAATGAGGATTCAGATGAGAACTTAATTTCTGTGAATTTTTGAATCCCAGCAAAGCCACAGATATGGACTTAAATAAAAAGTAGAAAATATTTACTCTCTTGAAATGGCTTTGCCCAATTTTGATTTGGAGCTTTATAGCAGCACATCTTGGGATATCTTAATCGGCCATCTGCACCCAGGAATTTCACACTTGCTATGTCGGCCAAATTTCCAGAGTCTAGAGGCTAAAATTCACACTTATTTTTAAACCCTTCCACCAATCTCCCAAACTTTGAGAGTTAAGATTCCCATCTGACATTGATTTTCGGATTTCATCCCTACAAGAAAGGAGTCTTATCTCAAAAATTCATACACTATACTAGACTACTTTGTTAAACTACTTTAGCTCTAGCATCAAAAACAGTGACAGGGGACAGCCACTCATACTGAGATGCAGTCTTGTGTGAATTCCAATAACTATGAGGCATTTTCCTACAGATCCCATAATACAGACACTGAGGGCTATACTGGCTTCCTCTCTGTGGTGTCTTATGGGTACGTGGCTATTAATGCACATAGAAAGAAAAACCACAACAGAACCTGTAGGTTAAAGACACGCAGCAAAAGGCTACACTGCCATATTTAGTATTCAAGAATCAAATTCCAGTCAGAGCTTCTCCATCTCTGTGCTTCTATTTTAAAGTGATAGCACATGATATAGCCAATGACAAGAAACTGTGCCAGGGAAGAGAAAGCTTAAATATGAATTTCAGCTAAAATTCTACACTTCATTCCAAACATGAGCCCAGAAAACACCAATTTCAAACAGCAAATGATTTCTGTGACATTTGCTTCCCGAGAGTTAGATATGGTCCCACACACAAAAAAAAATTACTTTATGAATCTAGAAACCTCTTCTGCTGCTCCTTAGCTATGTGGCCTGCAACAAAGTAAATAATCTTTAGAGGCCTCAGTTTCCAAATGTGTAAAATAAATAAGTTGGAACATATGATCCTTGAAGTCACCTCCAGCTCTGAGAGTCTACAACTTATGTCTTTCAAATATTTAATAACTTCTTTCCTCAGATTCCAACTGGTCACTGTTATGGTGAAAAACTTTTCAGGACAATAACTAAGGATTTTTTAAAGTCATTTCAATTCTGGAGACCACTGCCTTTCTTCTATAGTAATAGTTATTTAAGCAACTGCATAAATTAGCCATGTACAGTTGTATTTGGTCTGCCATTTCATTTAACAACACTATAAGTAGAGGTTTTTATAATATGGAGTGTTCCATGGTGCTTGGGTTAGTAACCATGTATTGGAGAGGAAACTAAAGGAGGGATTTTGCAAATCATACAGACAGTAGAAAATGAGAGAAAGATAAAATGAGATAAGATCATTACATTTTAGTAAATGAACAACAATCATAAATCAAAATGCAAGCATAGGTTGTTATGAACTTCCCTTTCAGATTGTCAAGAGACATCTAGGACTGAGTGAATATTCTCAAAGGGATGATTATTAAAGTTCCCTCCTTAACATTAGTTTCCCAGGAGCCCAGAGGGTTTATCTAAAGGTGTTAAACACTTATTACCACCTTATAGAGTGGCCCCCAGGCTCTAAGGTTACTTTCCAGAGCAAAGTCTCTAAGCTCTCATTAGCACTTTTTGACTGTTCTTCAAGGTTTATTTCACAGAAAACAATGAAAATGTTCAACAAAGATTTTTGAGAAAGGAGGGCCAAGTGTTAGAAACATTATAGTCTCACTCAGGTGATTTGATTGTTCTGGGCAGAGGTATAAAATGTCCCCAAATTATAACCTATGCTGGTTAACGGAAATTAAAAACTTTCCGGGTTTTAACCTTTGTTGTGGAAGCTTTTTCTAAAAAGTGATGCCACATTCTTGTTACCTTAACTGTATTGCCTTAATCATACTGTAGGACAGGCAACTGGTATAGTAGACAAAAGTGAGACATTGTTAGCCAGGAAGACATGAGTTAAAGTCCTGAAGTCTGACACTATAACCTGAGAAAAGACACTTAACCTCTAGAGACCCAGGGGACTCCACAAGGCTAAAAATTACAGATGAATTAATACTCTTCATTGGCAAATGGATTTTCCTCAGCAGAAGTTCCCTAACCTGATGAACTAACAGATCCCCTCCTGCATTCCTTGCCCCCATTAGCACAATGGAGCCAATTTAATCATTCTTTTATGAATAAAGAACTTGTAGTGCTTCCGATTATAAATTTTGAATATTAGTAAGATGGCCTAAGAGGTTCCCTGCCCTTCAATAAATCTAGGATATAACTTATTTTCTTGTGCTCCGCTTCGAAGTCTAATTTAAAAAAATGGGTTAAGGGGATCTGGTTAAATACAACTTGACTATATCAAGTGTAGAACAAGTAAAAACAGAGATTCAAATAGCTAGTATCTGTCCTTTCTTTATGTAATATCCCGTTACTTTGTGGAATTTGGTGTCATAGGAACACAGGCTTTAGAGCTGAAAAGAATGTTAGCCATCAGCTAGTACAAGTCCCTCATAAAACACTCATTCAACAGAGAGGTTAAGTGACTTGCAAAGAAGTAAAAAGGTCAAGATTTTAAACCCAGGCCTTCTGATTTCAAACCTAGGGCTCTATATTCCTAAAAGCTACATTGGCTGTACTTACATCCAGGAGCATCAGGAAAATGGAGCACAAAACATAAATGTTGAACATTTTCACACTAATTTTAGTTTCTGTTGTTAAAGAGTAGATAATAATGAGGAAGGGAAAGCCAACATATCACCCCCAAATCTGGCAGCATCATATTACTTATTTGCATTGAAATAACACTCTCTTGCATTCACTCATTAAAACTCCCAACAGTATCATAAGTTCTCCTGGTTTCTACCCTGAACAACCAGAGACTTGGTATAAGTACTGGGTTTTTATTTTTGTTTGTTTTTTGGTTTTTGTTTTTTTGGTGGGGTTTGTTTTTTGTGAGTGTGAGGGGAGATGCTGTGAGGAGATGTGAGTGTGTGATCAATTCACAAATTGAAGGAGTTTTCAGTACCACCTGATAGACTAGGAACATCGGATCCTTCTTCTTCAGTTAGTAAATCCAAAGCACCAGTTTCATAAAATCCTTTCCCATAGGTGCTACTAATTATGAACAATATATTTTTAACATTCATAGAAAAAATAAAGGAAAATTAGAATTTGAAATGGTACTCTTTCCTCACATTAAGGAAAGGTCTCTAGAGGCCCTGATGGCAGAAAATAGGCAATACTGTCAGAATCCCACAGAATGTTAGAACAAGTCAAACCTGTCCCTAAAAAGAAGGAACATACAATTTTTATAACTGCTAACTCATTAAAAAGAAATAAAATAAAGCAATTTCATTAGATTATAATATGAAACCAAAAGAGAAATAAAGGGCAAGGACTATTTGTCCTTCAAGCTGGGGGGGAGGGAAGCTAGAAAAGAGAATTCTAAAAAGGTTAGTGAAATTTCCAATTTCAAGTACATTTTGTGGTTGACAGAATTAAATAGCATAATCTTTTTTTTATCATTTCTGGAGAGTCACTAATGAAGCAAATTAATCTATCAATAGGGTGATTATATTTATCTCTTAAATTAAATAGTAATGAAACATAAACCAAGACTATGACATTCTGAAATGGCAGAAGCTTGAACCAAGTATATACAGTGCAAGAGCAGACAAAAATTGGCTCTTAAAATTCACAGACAAGAGCATTATGACAATATATGTAGATCACTGCGTCAAAGACTAAAATTCAAATAGGTTCCTTGCTCTGAACTTGTGTTACATGCACATCTTTTTTCTAAGAACAACAATATGTAATTGGGAATACAAAATAGTTATATAGAGATGATTCAAAATGCAGAACACATGTCAAGGAATATTAATAATCTGTGATTTCGTTGGTATAGAAATTCTCACCACCAACACAGACTGCAACCCACCTACTACTCAATAGATAAGTCTTGGAGAGTTGCCTGAGACTCAGAGACATTAAGAGACTTGCCCATGGTCACACTGGTATTAAGTGTCAGAGGCAGGATATGAGTTCAGGTATTCCTGACTCTAAGCCCGGCACTCTACCCACAATGCAACATTACCTCCTAATATACAACAAGAGAGTATTTAAAATAAAGAGCATGAAAAACGGTCAGCACTAATGTGGTTTCTATAGAGATTTGGCATACCTCATAATGGCTTTCTTCATTCTCCTGAATGTGGAAACCCGCAGAGCTGGGACATTTCTGAGGAGTGACAGGAATACTGTCACCTTTGCTGTGTGTATTACACTGTAAGAGATTACCAAATAATGGTGACAAACTACTCCACTTTTAGAGTGTCTACTGAGAGAAATGACTATTTGTTAAGATCCTATTAAAGGAATTCTACTCGAGCTAATGGGGGTATATAAGACAGATACATGCATTAACAATCTTATAACACAGGTTTTAGAAAATGTCAAAAAAAGTTTCTTGTAATAAATAATACCTTTGGGGACACAAAATTATATTCATCATTTGATATGTAAAGTAAGGAAACTAAAAAAAATTGTTCTTTCATAGTATTTCCCTTTTATGTTAGCTTTGGATTTCGAGTTTAAAGTTTTTACTTAATACAAGTTAAATAATGACAAATCTATACATTAAAATGGATATGATTAAAAATATCAAGTTCAAAGTCTCAGAGCATTAACTTTTAAGTAATTTTCTAAACTGGATGCTTAGGAACTATTTGAAAAGCCTAAACAAATCATTTTACTTCAAAAACGTAATTAAAACAACATGAATATATGAAATAAAACAATACGTGAATATATGAAAACACATAAGAATTTAATTCTTATCTGATATCTTTTCATTTAAAATATTTCCCTTCATATTCCATTAACATGCACTTATTGTGATATTAGAATGTAAGCTCTCTGAAGGCAAGAGCTCTTTCATTTTTGCCTTTGTATTCCCAGTACCTAATACATAGCATGTGCTTACAAAATGCTTGTTAACTGATAGTCCACAAAGGTTTTCTAACACGAGAATAGTCTGCCTTTAGGGGTAGAAACAAACAAATACACCAATTCTCATCTATTAACAAGATAAGTTTATGCTTATTTCAATAGCATAATTTATTCAATAAAACTTGGAATATTCTAACAACTTTGCTTATCTGAAGGTATAGGCATATCCCACCCAATACCACTGCTTGTTTCCAGGAAAACAGTCTTTTAGGTGGAGAGATATTTCAAGGGGAAGTCATCCCACAGACCGATTTTATAAATTGCCAATGAGTGAAATTATGTTACAATGGAATTTGGAAACTTTATAGTGGGGTTTGATTTAAATATATGTATGCATTACAAACCAAATTTTGTCTGGGCAACATATGTAGGGTATGCCTATACTTCAATGCCTAGATATAGTACTTGTAGACATGAATATATATACATATATATATATATATTAATTCAAATGTTCATAATACACTGCTAATTTACATCCCATTGGGAGAGAACAGAATGACCCTAAAGTGAATTCTCAATCCACCCAGCATTTTTCACAGTCTTATGCCCTATTCATTTGTCTATTTAATCTAATGTTTATACTTTTCCATTCACTTTCCTAATGAAAAACACCATTAGCAAGTATATAAATCACATATATAAATATATACACATGTGTCTGTATATGTTTATGTATGTATATATACACACAAATCTACTATGTTCTACAGAATAATTAAAGCATCATGCCTAATGCATTTTTTGAAAATGCAAGGGAAACCACTGAAGTCTTTTTTGAGTGGCCAAAACACACGAAATGACAGAGCACATTATGAGAACAACGGTTGTTGCACACAAACAGCCCTGGGATTGCATCATATGAATATTAGTTGCTGGGTTTAGGAGTACCTAACTTTGAAAAGAAAAGACTCAGAGGTCATAGCAATCATCTTCAAATGCCTGAAGGGCTAGTGTACGGATGAGGGATTAGACTTATTTGGCTTAATTTCACAGAACAGAACTAGGAGCAATGAAAGAAAGCTTCATATGTACAAATGTTAACAAAATATAAGGGGACACTTCCTAGCAAACAGAGCTATCCAAGTGAAATGAACTGCTTAGGGAAGTAGTGGTTTCTCTTAGTTTTTAAACAAAGGCTAGATGACAACTCATCATCAATATTGCACAGGAGATTCTCATTCAAGTGCAGACAGGTGAGACTGATGGCCTCTTAGATCTCTTTCAACTCTGCTTCTATGATCCTTGGAAATACTTTATTTTCATATTTCATTTGAAATCACCTTTTCATGCATTGTAGGCATCACAGAAGCCATGATCTTCCTACGCAAATGCTTGGTCACCTAAATACTTCAACATCCTGTTCAAAAGCCTTCTCTTCCAAGAAGCCTCCCTGCCTTAGATGACTTTAACCATTCCTTTATTCTCCCTTTGGCCAACAGGTACATGTTCATTTGTGATACTTAGTCATTTTCTTTTGCAAGCATCAAGTCTGTTTTTATGTGTGTACATTACATCTCATCAATTACAAATGAAGCTGCAAAGGCAAAAACTCTAACATCTTTTCTATCTCCTCACATCAATTGATGCAATATAAGAAAGTAAGTATTCAAAAGAAGTTAATTGACTTTTAGTTTTATTCCTTTCTTAGGTCTCATGGCATATGATATTCCTAACTGATTCCTGCCTCTACAATTTCCAATCTCTGATCCAACTTTACCCTACCAATTTTAATTTTCCAGAGACACTTCTTTAGAATGTCTCTAAAAATATTTTCTTTACAGATGAAAAATTATCAAATCTGTTACTCCCTCCCCCCATACCCAAAGCCTATAGGTTAAATCTCCAAGTCCATATCCTAGTATTTGAGGTTTTTCATAATCCCACTCCAGTCCATCTCTCTGATCATCTGATTTTTCATTATTCAATTACATAAGCTCTCTGTTTTAGCCAGGCTAATCTATTTAAAGTTTCTTTAACATGCCTTTTAATTTTTCACCTCCACACACTGCTTATACAAATGGCCCTTTGCCTGAAATATCATCCACTTTCACATCCATACCGCTAAATTGAAGCCACTCAAGGCTCACCCAAAATCCTATTTGCTTCACCAATACTATTCCAAAGGTATCTCCTTCTTCTCTAAACGCTAAGTATATATTCCCTTTATTTGGCATTGTTCACATACTACTTTCTGTTTTTAATTAACTGGCAGATGCTGTGTTACCTTCTCAGGAAGGTTGTAAAGGGCTTAGGGGACAGAATCTGTGTCTTAATTGTTCTTATCCTCACAGTACATAGCGCACTGCCTTGCACACGGTCAACCTTTAATCAATATTTGTTTGCCTTAGCACTGCTTCATATTTTAAAATTCCAGAAAACTGAATATGCCTTCTTACATATTACTTCTATCATTTTTAATAACTTTGCTTTGTGATGATTTCTAGAAAATACACAAAACATTGTAAGTTTCTTGAGGGCAGGTTCTCCTCAGTTGGCATCAGGGATAGATGTGCCAAACATGCTTGGAATAACTCATCCCCAGTGCCTTCACAACTTAGGTCTAAATCGTGTATATGTGTGATTATAGTAAATATAAGTGGATTTGCTTATGTATGTGTTCATTTACGTTTTTGTCCAGACGTGATTTTATTGATCTACTAAGTCCTGGTAAGCAAGCCTCCTATACAAATACGGATCAGCATCTGCTCTGAAATGTATAACCTTGGGTCACTGAGTCACTGAAAGGTTAATTCAATTGGCCACGATTGCACTATCAAAATGTGTTAGCTGTGGAACTTGAACTCTGATCTTCCTGATTCTGAGGTTATCTCTTTCACTATTCGTGATGCTTCTTCATAATGTGTATGTGTGTGTATATACATACACAATCGTATGTGTATGTATGCATGTATAAATATGTAACCCCAATCCCAACACCCATTGTTTTGGGACTATCCTCACTAGTGAATATTAATGCCCTGTGGCAGTATAAGGGGAGGGGGTACAGTTGGCAAAAGTGGGAGAGAGCTGCTTCATCTCTTCATTCTCTGTTTTCATGGAATCACTTCGAGCTCTGTAATTGCTTTTGTTTCCAGCTTTGAGAGAGTTCCCTAGAGATCCACTAGATTAACAATATTAGAGGAAGCAGATAGATATGATTCTGGTCAGGTACACCCTCTCTTTGATGAGAGCAGAGTGAAGTCTCGCCCCAACCTTCTTCTTTCCCTTCTACCGTGAACATAAGTCTACCTTGGAGAAGGTTGGGGGAAAATAGTCTAGAGAGGTCTAGTTTGTCTCTCTGAGTCACACAACAACAGTCTCATGCTGCATGTAGGGGACACCCCTTGCTACATATGAGGATATAATACATAATCATGTGTGTAAATTATTAACAATATAAATACTATATGTTTAAATACATATACATAGAGGGATATATGCTTAAATTAGCATCTTGATCTTACCCTAGATAAAAACACACCTATTGATTAGAATAATTAGTCAAGTAGACAAAGGGAAGGAAACAATGTTTTCTGTTACAGTCAAAATGCACTAATCTCCTTTTCTATTATTACCCAGCCATAACCCATTTCTCTCTTTGCTAGTATTGTCTCATATTCCTAGAATGGATTCTATCTTTTGCTAACAAAGTTGGCCCGTCCTTTAATGTAAAATTCAAAATCCTTGATCCATGCCTAACAAAAGCAATCCCTTTAAGTTTTTCAAGGTGGACTGAACCTCTTTTCTTGTTTGTTATTCCTTTTTTTCTTGTATTGTAGCTATCTGCATATTCCCCTCTCCCCCGCAATTAAATTTTAAGTTCCTTGAGGGAAAAGACTGTGTTGTATTTCATTTTTCTGTCTTCCCCATGACCTCTTACATGTGTATGAGGGATATCATTAAGTAAATACATTAGCCAAAAATGTGGCTAGTCTTTCAACAAAAATAAGGAATAATCATTAGGATAGTTCATGTGTTCCACAGTTATCATTCTAATACCAAAACAAAAAGGGTAAAATGAGCCATTTATAAAGTATGTTGCAAACCTTAAAGCACTATGTAAATTCCAGCTTTTGCCATTGTCATAATTTGTATTATTAGAAGGATCACATCATCTAAGTAGGATCCTGTGAGGACATAATTAATGAATGAGAATAAGGATTATATGGAAGGAATAGACAAGCATAGATGGTCTGCAACCTGAATTACTGAAGAGAATACCCATATTGATAAGAAAAGCAATCAGTTTAAGTATTATTGGCACCTAGTCAA